AGCTGACATGTTAGTTCAGTCTAGGTGGCCGAGTAGTCTAGAGCGCTGGACTCAGTGCAGGCGGTGTTTTCTCGATATCTCAATAGCATGAGTTCGAATCCCGGCGAGGAAAGACCAAACATTTGCTTCCGCAAATTTGCGGACTTAACATTGTTGTGCTGATATCTAGAGTAATTATGAATATTTATATATTTATATATATCTTATCTAAAGCTCTCGAATCGAGGTAAATTAAAACTCTAATGACTTTCTGAAGAGCAACATGCGCTCCTAGGCAATACCGTAGGCACAAACATGTTTCAGTTTGACTGAGTCTATTCCTGAATAGATCTGTTTAAATGCATCCTCTTAACATTAAGATTCTTTTGGACCACATTTATTCGTTTGAAAAATAATCATTTTTAAGTTTTAAGCAACATGTTTCTCTTTGTGTATTCATTAAAAACACATTTTCTCAAATCATATTTTTCGTGCTATAAAGTTTAATGAATTGTGCACAGCATGTAAACCTATAAAATGTATTGCCGTGAAAAATTAAAACAGAGCAAACGAAAAAATCAAAAGGTACAACAATAAAAAAATCAAGTAGCAAAGTAAACGAAAACATCAAAAGGTTCAACATTAAAAAATCAAGCATTAGGAGAAAAGTAGGCAGCCTGTTTAATGTAAACGATAAATAAATGCGTTATTGTTTGTACTTTAGATTGTTAGAGTTTTTGGTCCAGAAAGTATTCATTTGTTTCACTATAACTATTCAAACTTTGTCTAATTTGATTTATTGCTGGTCCTACATTTTACATTAGTTGTTGCCATTATTAATGTATTCATTTATCTTTATTTAGTATAGTACCAAGACAGCAATATGACAGTCGTTGTTATCCATTCATTTGATGTGTTTGAGCTTTGATTAGGGACTTTCCGTTTTGAATTTTCCTCGGAGTTCGGTATTATTGTTATTTTATTTTCTACTAGGAGAGTCTATTATTCACATTTCTTAACAAGCTTATTATCGAATATCATCGTTTAATCGCTACCCAACCATATAAGAGCAGTATGGATAGTGATTGTTTCCGCAATATATTTATAAAAAAAGAATAGCAGGCTTGTAATGTGGTACTTCAGTCGTGCGTTTCGCCTAAATAAAGGCAACAGTAGTACACCGCTGTTCGAAACTCATAAATCGATAGAGATAAAAACAAATCCGGGTTACAAACTAAAACTGAGGGAAACGCATCAAATATAAGAGGAGAACAACGACACAACAAAAACACAACATTAAAATGTAAAACACACAGAAACGAACTATAATATAACAATGGTCATTTTCCTGACTTGGTACAGGACATTTTAAGAAAAAAAAAACTATTAACTAGATTGATAAGAAACTGTTTATTAACTTTCAGAACTTGAAAGCATGTACCAACTAAGTCAAAAACGTTTCATATTTATGATTGAGTGTTTATATGCGTATTTTGTAAACATATTATTATGAATTTCATAGCAGATTAAGAATTTCTAAAAAGGGGTCAAGCTATCTTTTCTTCTCTTGCGTTTTGTGTTTTGATTAAAACATCTTAAATATTTGAATCTTTATGAAACTGCTCAAACAAATCCCCTCAAAAGGGCTTTAAAATTATATATGCATGTTTTTAAAAATTACGAGCAAGCATACCCAATTCTTGGTTTTCATCGTCAATGTTTTCTGCTACAATCCTATATGCATCAATAGTGTTTAAAACCCAACGTTATTATAGGCAGCACAGATCCAACTTCTTAATGAGTTGTTAATGTGGATATGTTCTGTTTATATTAAAGATGATCCAATGTATCTTGATGGCATATTCATGTTTATTTGAACTCCTTTCTCTCTTATCATAGCATCTTGATCTTGTGTATGTTAAAAGGCAAATTGAATTTCAATACGATCCAGAATCCTCCTAGTACAAATTGAAATTATATTGTTGATTATTAAAAATTGGAATTCTGATTTATACTTACTAAAATCCAGTACAGAATTCCAATATATATTAGTAGGACTGGGATATCAAGGAGGATCCTGGAGTGTACTAGAAAGAAGTAAAATTAAAAAAATACCGAACTCCATGGAAAATACAAACCGGAAAGTCCCTTTTCAAAATAGCAAAATCAAAACCTCAGTCACATCAAACGAATGGAAAACAAATGTCATATTCCTGACTTTGCACAGGCATTTCCTTAAGTCGAAAATGGTGGATCAAACCTTGTTTTATATCTAGCTAAACCTCTCATTTGTATGATAGTCGCATACAATTCTAAAGAACACAATAAAGAATTTTTGTTTAGATGAAATATGATATAATCGATTCTGTCTGAATCTCAAACGAAAAGAGATACGACCAATTTCCTTTGCATTTATTTTACTGCTGCGCATTTTCAACAATTCCTTCAATCATTTCAAAACTCACATTATCGTAAGGTCACATTAATTACTGTAAGTATTTAACAATACTTAAATTTACAGATTTCAGAACATTGATCATTTTAAAGATACCTATATATGGTTAAACACTTCTATGTTGGCATATTTTGAGTAATTATAAAGACATGCCTAATCAAAACCAAAATTGGAAATGTTTTAAGTATTAATTATTGTTTATGAGATGAAAATCCTTTCGATATCAAATTCAACAAAAAAATATCTCAAAATTAAAATCAAAAGACAATTTTCTTAATTTTCTTAAAATCTTTTTCATGTTTTGAGGTCAAAATATTTGCTTATTAAAAAACCATTAACAATAAATTAATATGTATTGCTATAAATAGAAAAAATGACAATAAGCTTATGTGATTTTCTATATTTTGTTTGTAATAGAGTATTGGAAGTTGCATTATATTATTATTTATTTAGTTTTTCTACTCATCAATTGCATCAGTAAAAAATAAAAATAATGTAACTTTCATGATTTGTGTTTCCATACTGTCACTTTGGTGGGCCATTTGCTGATTGTTTTGATCAATTTAGGTTTAATCGTGTTCATTTTTCGTAGGATGTTTGTTTGCTGCATGCCCGATGAATTATAGACTTTAGCAATGAACTGACCTTTTGTGCCTACCTTTTTCTTTTCCAATCTATTAGTCTGTTGCATCTAACGATCATCTTCATTCGCTGTTCTAGTTTGGTTTTCCTTTTCTGGAGCTCATGTTTAAATATTTCATGATTACTTTCAAGTTATTCTTCAATATAGGATTACTTATTTGCATGATGTATTCTGCTTGTGGATTATTTTTGATGGTGCTTTTGTAATCTCTATTTACATCGTTCATATTAGGTATTATTGTTCTATATTGTACAAGCCTTTTTTGTCGTTGTCTTTCTTTTTTTTCTCAGTGAACGTGCATGATCTGTCGATCTATCTTTATGGTTGTGTGTCTGCCTGCCTGTCGCTATGTCGGACAGTTTTTTCTTTTGTTGACAAGATATAGAATAGAAAAAAAAAAATCACAATTTCATTGGAAACTGAAACTATTCACTTCAATTTTGCACCAAAATACTTTTTGAAACAAGCATTTCTAATTTTGAAGTCATTTTGAGGTGATTCGTTTTATCAATTTCATAAGAGATACAAATGTTTATTATGTGTTAGGTTGCACTTTGTAAATACAGCTGTTTCCCAATAGTTATCAACAGTACCAGGCTTATAATTTGATACGCCAGACGCGCATTTCGTCTACATAAGACTCATCAGTGACACTCAGATCAAAATAGTTAGAAAGCCAAACAAGTATAAAGTTTTTGGGAGATATTTTTTGTTTTGTTTACGTACTGGTTCCTAGATATGATCTCTATACTTGATCTCATAGAGACATAAGTTGGAAATGGTACCGGTATCAATACACATCGATAGCGGCCAAATTGAATAGTGAGGAAGACCCAAAGTGATGGGAGGGGTAGTACAGAATTTAGTATAAGTTTAAACTCTTAGAAGTTCGGGGCATATACATGTTGTAAATATGCCACACAGCCCTATGATTTGATCTTTGAAACAAATAGTAGTGCATATGAACTTTCCATTCTAGGATATATGTTTTTACGAAACTTCATAGTAAAAGTGGCACAGTTTTAGCCATGAAAGGAGTTCCTATGGGAAATTGCATTGTCTATATTTATAGAAGTTCAACCTAAAATCACAACTAATAATAATTAAAAAAAAGATAGCTGGATGCCCGTTTAAAAATACAGCAATTCATAACCTGCTATTGAATTCATAATTATTTGTTATAAAATACGCAAACAAACACTCAATCATAAATATGAAACGTTTTGCATTACGTTGTTACATGCTTTCAAGTTATGAAAGTAAAAAATAAGTTTGTTATAAAATTAGTGAATGGTTTATGCGAATCGCGCGACCGGTGTACCACAATACAAGCCTGGTATTGATTTCTTTTCAGAAGTTGCGGAAACCATGACTGACGGTAAACGAAATACATTTTAAAATCACTCCACTCATAGTGGTTGGGTAGCAACCCCAGTCCTCAGCGATGATATCTGATAATGTGAACGTCAATGTGACTCTGCTAGTAAGCGACCTATATCAATAGAACAATAAATGAATACATAAATATTTGCCACAATCAATGTTAAATTTAGGACCATCAATACATCAAAGATTCTAAAAATCTAAAGAACAAACAATAAAGCATTTATATATCATTAACATTAAAAACAGACTGCCTACTTTTTCTCTTTGATGCCTGATTCTTTAATGTTGTACCTTTTGATTTTTTCGTGCAATTTGTTATTTTGTTCAAAGCAATACATTTTATATGTTTAAATGTTGTGCATAATTCATTAAATATTTGATAACAAAAAAGATTTTAAGAAAATGTGTTCTTAATGAATAAACAAAGAGAAACATGTTGCTTAAAACTTAAAAATGATTATTTTTCAAAAGAATGCATGTTTTACAAAAGAATCTTATTGACAAAAAGAAGTATTTAAACTGATCAGTTGGGAGTATTTTGCAATAGACGCATTCAGACTGAAAAATGTCAACATATATGTGCTTATGGTTTTGCCTAGCAGCGTTTTTTGCTCTTCAGGGTGATTCTAGATCTACGGAAAAGATACACGGTAAGTTCTTACCATTATATATATATATATATATAGAAAAAAGTCAAATAGAATCCGTATGCTGGTAACATATAAGAAAATTAATATAAGATAATGACGGTTTCAAGTCATCACTTTTACTAGCGCTTTCACTGCTTTCACAGATCTTCAGGTAATGTGACTTGTATACATAAATGTTATAAAACAATTGATTGACGTTAACAAAAGTATGACGTTAACAAATACAAGGGAGACTACTAATGTCATTTTAAAATTAGAGTAAAGTCTTTAAAATGTTTCGTAAAAATTAAAATATTATTTATCATTTAATCCCGGGTTGAGAATGTTTATGAATAATTCTTCTTTCTTCTTCCGGAGAAAATCATTTTGACGATTGACCATATACAACGGAAATATTTTAAATCGTCCATTAGAACAACGATGGAAATGGTCGTTAGCCCTGATGATTGTTAAATCTTCATGGTTGGTTTGCTGTCTATGTACAGTCATTCTAGTCCGCAGTTCTGTTTTTGTCTCTCCAAAAAAAAAAAGAAAAAAAAAAAAAAAAAAGATTATCAACAGTAAAAGACAGTCAAAAAGTCTAAAACGATATTTAACATCTTCAAAATTCGACTTTAATGAAACTTTGCCTATTGTTAGAAAATGTACCGATAAACGATGTATAACATGTCCAGATTTAATAGAAGAAAGTTCAATTTACTTCAAAAATGGAAAGCATTTCACAGTCAAACAAAATATGTCTTGTAAAAATTCAAACGTCATTTATTCTCTCATATGTTCAAATTATGAGGAATTTTATATTGGAGAGACAAAAATAGAACTGCGGACTAGAATGACTGTACATAGACAGCAAACCAACCATGAAGATTTAACAATCATCAGGGCTAACGACCATTTCCATCGTTGTTCTAATGGACGATTTAAAATATTTCCGTTGTATATGGTCAATCGTCAAAATGATTTTCTCCGGAAGAAGAAAGAAGAATTATTCATAAACATTCTCAACCCGGGATTAAATGATAAATAATGTTTTAATTTTTACGAAACATTTTAAAGACTTTATTTCAATTTTAAAATGACATTAGTAGTCTCCCTTGTATTTGTTAACGTCATACTATTGTTAACGTCAATCAATTGTTTTATAACATTTATGTATACAAGTCACATTACCTGAAGATCTGTGAAAGCAGTGAAAGCGCTAGTAAAAGTGATGAATTGAAACTGTCATCATCTTATATTAATTTTCTTATATATATGTAGGACTCAAATCTATGGTGGGTTCCAGATCTATGGCAGATCCCTAATCTATGGCAAATATGACGTCATGTCATCCCAAATCTATGGCAGATTTGTTACAATCCTAATCTATGGCAAGTTTTGTAATTTCCTAATCTATGGCGGATTTTTGTTGTTTCCAAATCTATGGCAGATTTATGCAAATGAAAAACAATGCAGTACATATACGACCAATGACTTGTCTTAAACAAGTTGAAATGTACGACAACGGGAGTATGTCTATAAACTTTTGTGATAAACATTCCATAATGGTCAACCAAATCGTGATAGCAACCATAAAATATTGTAAACGGTGAAATCATATACCTTAATACATAAAAATAAGCATTTATTAATCTGTGCATGGTACCTGTTTAACCCATTCAAGTTAAACCAACTTATAGTAAGTCTTTTAACAAACAAGAAACACAGTTATTTTCATAAAAAAAAATGAACAGTTTGACTTTTCACATAATATCTATTTCATCATTAAAACATCTTTTTTATTTGATGACGATTTAAATCAAATTATTATCCAGCAATTTGATTTTTCACTTTTATCAACTTTGCTAGCTGTAGACGCTAAAATATTTACTATAACTCCTTTTTCTAAAATTTCAGGCACTGAAAACAGCGGTGCCCTTATTAATAGCGGGATTCGGGCGGTACAGCACATTTTGTCCCTCTTCCGGATAATAGGTCACATCTTGTCACACACCATGTGCAAATTGTTGTAGAGGGAAATATATTTACCTTCATCTGGAATGGTATTCAAATCTATGTGTTCCGCCATCGTTATAGGGAGCAAGCATTTCACTTCAAGGGGGGTTATGGTGTTTTTTTCTGAGTCAGAAATTTTTTTATTTAGTGTTGTGAAGCTATATCAATCAATTTTTTTTCAAAATTTAACACTATAAGGTATGGGGAAAATGTAGATTCAGAATACTTTTTGTTGTCATCTGTTTGATCAGAATATTTTTTTTTTCATCAAATTGGGGATCAGAATATTTTTTTTTAGGAAAAAAACATACCACCCCCCTTTTTTGAACTTGAAATGGTCGTATCCTGGTTCCCGGTACTACGTTCCAGGTTTTAGCTGATAGCCATACGCTGTCACGAGGTTATATTGGTATATGTGTAACAGACTGAATATTGCGATCGGGAACCAGTCTAAAATGGTCGTTCCCTTAGTGGCGGCGACGATGTAATATGGCGTTATTCAATTGTGACGTTATATGTCACTCTTTTTCCCGGAAAATTTTGCAATTTGAAGATATGCCATAGATTAGGAGAAAACAAAAATCTGCCATAGATCTGATTTGTCTGGCTTTTGTAACGTTGCATTTGCCATAGATTAGGAATCTGCCATAGATATGGAACCCGCCATAGATTTGAGTCCTACAAATTTCTTGTTAGAGGGGTCTAAATACAGCACAAACAACATTTTCCAAAAGACCAAAAAAGTGAAAAAGTATATTTTAACAAAACGCATTTGACTAACAGGTCGAACAACAAATGTTCTTAAACCTGCTGACTGCCATTGGCGATTGCCAAATAAACTTATCACCGATGGAATAAATGGATCTTAATTATAAATCTAATACTAAACAGAAAACAATAAACTTGCGGAAAAGATGATATACCGCAAACAAAAGGTGCAAAGGTTTTTGTACACCATATCCGGATTTCGACAATTAATGTCTCTTCAGTGATGTTAAGAATCGAAACGGTATTTGGAAAGCCATACAATTTGCCTCAATTTAGGATAGACTCTTGAATTTTGAGGAGTCAAAATAGGATGAACGGATCATATAAACCCGAAAGCAAATATAATAAAAGCCCAAACGAAAAAATATAAACAAGTCTTAATTGAAAACAACGTTCAAACCTATGATTGCGTTGGATAAAATCCACAATTTTTATACGTGTGCATGCAAAATAAATTTCTTGGTAGAGGGGTCTAAATACAGCACAAACAACATTTTCCAAATGACCAAAAAAGTGAAACAGTATATTTTAAGAAAACGCATTTGACTAGCAGGTCGAATAACTGATGTTCTTAAACCCTGCTGACTATATATAAATAAGTCTAAATTGAAAACAACGTTTTATTTACCTGCCACTATACATCATGTACTGTGTTACCACCCTAGATAAAGCCGAACTGGAAAGGCATTACATCGACCACTGAAAGCTATATTTTAACGTAGCCTAGGTGGTTGAGTAGTCTAGGATGCTGGACACGGTGCAGGCGGTGTTGTCACGATGTCATAAAAAGAAGGGTTCGAATCCCGCTGAGGGAATAACAATCTAACATTGTTGGGCTAAATTTGAGACGAATTATAACTATATTATGGTGTTAGCCCTGTATAACCACATCCGATGGAGAATGTCTGTCATAAAGTTGTATCTTATTTAGATATGTATACATATATACAAGTCTAAATTGAAAACAACAATCAAACCTATGATTGCGTTGGATAAAAACCGCAATTTTTATACGTGTACATGAAAAACAAATTACTTGGGAGAGGGGTCTAAAAACAGCACAAATAACATTTTCCAAAAGACCAAAAAAGTGAAAAAGCATATTTTAACAAAACGCATTTGACTAACAGGTCGAACAACGGATGTTCTTAAACCCTGCTGACTGTCATGGCGATTGCCAAATAAACGGATCACCAGATGTAACAAAATGGATCCTATTCATTAATTTAATACCAAACAGAAAACAATAAACTTCCGGAAAAGATGGTATAGCGCAAACATGAGGTGCAAACATTTGCACACAATATCCGGATTTCGCCAATAATGTCTCTTCAGAGATGTTAGGAATCGAAGCGGTATTTGGAAGGCCATAAAGTTTACCCCAATTTAGGATTGACTCTTGAATTTTGATTTTACATACATATCTAACTTTTATATCATATTATCTAATATTTTACGCGGAAAGCCTCTACTACAGATTATTTTAAAGAGTTTTTATTATCCTCATTTTAAGAGATTTTGATTATATTATATATATATGTATAACTCTTCTTCAGGTAAAGTTGGCCTTGAACTGTGTTGGCTTTTCAATTTGGCCCATTACGATACTGTTCTGAAGCGTGTTTAGGTGCGAGCTTTCTAATCTTTAGGTCACTGCTTACCTAATCAATGTTAATCTTAAATCACGTGTAGTGCACAAGATTACAAATAATTAAGCCTTCATCTGTTGTATGTTCTTTGTCGGGTTGCTATCTCTTTGACACAATCTCCTTTTCCATTTTATTTTCTATAACGAATAATTAACACATTAAGCCTCTCTAACTATTTGATCATACTTAGGGAAAGTGTTTCCAATACCATGAAAGATAACTATTGATATTTAGTGATTTTAAAATATATTGTGTAATCATTTATTTTTACAGGCAAACTTACAGGATCACAAGAGACAAACGAGGTTTGATCTTTTCTTAGCAAATCGTGTTTTTTCTTCTTTAGCGTATATATTTGTCATTTCTGTTTTCAAGCAATACCTTTTTTCCTGTCCTTAACGCTTGAATACGATTTTACTCGAGGGAAACTCAATTACTCGAGGGAAACTCAATTACTCGAGGGAAACTCAATTACTCGAGGGAAACTCAATCTGATATGTAATGATAGTAATACATTTGGTACATTCATTCTGCATTTAAGGATGTTTGCTCCTCTTGTTTTTGAATTTTTGCCAGATATTCGGAATCCTCTAGTTTTATCCATGTAGTGCCATTAAATTTTTTTGCCCACTAACCCCTACTTTTTACCCATAATTTGATTACATATAGTTTAAAATGCCATCTTTGAAAATCTTATAAAATCCTTGTTATTTTTTCATAGTTTTTGATTGAAAAAAGGTACCAATGTTGAATGTATGAAAAGTCTAGAGAGAATCATTTCCCGCCAAGTTTTCAATGGCTTATATCTCGAAAACAAGCACACGGACCCTTCATTTTGTTCTGCTTTTTTAGTTCCTTTATTTATATACTATCATTTTATAACAGTCTTTTAAAAAGCTTGTTATTTTGAAACAGAGTAGCGAACATCCTTAACAGTTTTACTATACAAAAAAAAATATAATAGGCTGATACCTTTGTACGCCAGTCGAAAGTTTTGTTTACTATTAACTAACTAGTAACGTTCGAATTAATAAAGATCAAAGCCTAAATGAAGTACGATGTCGAACAGCACGGATAACCTAAGATTCCGGAAGGTTTTGCCAAATACATCTTAGGTAATTTTGTCCTTGTGGAGAAAAAAAAAGATGTACTCTGGTATTATCACAATAAATATAAAAACTAATATCGTTTACGGGTATCCTGCTTCCATTATGAGAGTATGAGAATATCTATTACGATTTCCCCTATAGAATTACATACACTGTTAAAAAAATAAATTGGAGTTTTAACCCGATTTTTAAGTGTATTTGAATTTTCGTTATGGTTGTTGTATATATTTCTTTGGACGATCTCTAAGAACAGAGAGAGAAGATACATTCCAAGAAAACATGAAAATAATTTGAATGAGAAGGAGTTTTCAATTGTTAAAATTATAAATGATAGCTATAATAACATTGCAACCTTACACGATATGAAAACGTCAAATTGGTCCAAATGAAAACTTGCAAATAGCACATTGTGTATCATATCAAATAAACCATTGAACTTTAAAGAAGAAAAAAAAAAATAAACGTATAGTAAATTGCAATGCAATATCCATTCAATCTAATGCATTCTGTGTTTTTTTTTCGAAAGCGTACACCAAAACATTTGGTTGGTTAAAAACGGCATAAACAAAAGGAATCCAACCAATAATGTCACTTGCATGTTGAATACGAACAATGCAATGACCCGCAAGTCTTTATATTCCGAACCAACGGTGTTATACCACTTTCATGTTTGGTTACGAACAATGCTATGACCCGCTAGTCTTTATATTCCGAACCAATGGTGTTATGTCACTTTCATGTTTGGTTGCGAACAATGCAATGACCCGCTAGTCTTTATATTTCGAACCAATGATGTTATGTAACTTTCATGTTTGGTTGCGAACAATGCTATGACCCGCAAGTCTTTATATTCCGAACCAACGGTGTTATGCCACTTTCATGTTTGGTTACGAACAATGCTATGACCCGCTAGTCTTTATATTCCGAACCAATGGTGTTATGTCACTTTCATGTTTGGTTGCGAACAATGCAATGACCCGCTAGTCTTTATATTTCGAACCAATGATGTTATGTAACTTTCATGTTTGGTTGCGAACAATGCTATGACCCGCAAGTCTTTATATTCCGAACCAACGGTGTTATGCCACTTTCATGTTTGATTACGAACAATGCTATGACCCGCTAGTCTTTATATTTCGAACCAATGGTGTTATGTCACTTTCATGTTTGGTTGCGAACAATGCAATGACCCGCAAGTCTTTATATTCCGAACCAATGGTGTTATGTCACTTTCATGTTTGGTTGCGAACAATGGAATGACCCGCAAGTCTTTATATTTCGAACCAATGATGTTATGTCACTTTCATGTTTGGTTACGAACAATGCAATGACCCGCAAGTCTTTACATTTTGAACCAATGATGTTATGTCACTTTCATGTTTGGTTGCGAACAATGCAATGACCCGCAAGTCTTTATATTTCGAACCAATGATGTTATGTCACTTTCATGTTTGGTTACGAACAATGCAATGACCCGCAAGTCTTTATATTCCGAACCAATGGTGTTATGTCACTTTCATGTTTGGTTGCGAACAATGCAATGACCCGCTAGTCTTTATATTCCGAACCAATGATGTTATGCCACTTTCATGTTTGGTTGCGAACAATGCTATGACCCGCTAGTCTTTATATTCCGAACCAATGATGTTATGTCACTTTCATGTTTGGTTGCGAACAATGCAATGACCCGCTAGTCTTTATATTCCGAACCAATGATGTTATGCCACTTTCATGTTTGGTTGCGAACAATGCTATGACCCGCAAGTCTTTATATTCCGAACCAATGGTGTTATGTCACTTTCATGTTTGGTTGCGAACAATGCAATGACCCGCTAGTCTTTATCTTCCGAACCAATGATGTTATGTCACTTTCATGTTTGGTTACGAACAATGCTATGACCCGCTAGTCTTTATATTCCGAACCAATGATGTTATGCCACTTTCATGTTTGGTTACGAACAATGCAATGACCTACAAGTCTTTATATTCCGAACCAATGGTGTTATGTCACTTTCATGTTTGGTTGCGAACAATGCAATGACCCGCTAGTCTTTATATTCCGAACCAATGATGTTATGCCACTTTCATGTTTGGTTGCGAACAATGCTATGACCCGTTAGTCTTTATATTCCGAACCAATGATGTTATGTCACTTTCATGTTTGGTTGCGAACAATGCAATGACCCGCTAGTCTTTATATTCCGAACCAATGATGTTATGTCACTTTCATGTTTGGTTACGAACAATGCTATGACCCGCTAGTCTTTATATTCCGAACCAATGATGTTATGTCACTTTCATGTTTGGTTACGAACAATGCAATGACCTACAAGTCTTTATATTCCAACGGTGTTATGTCACTTTCATGTTTGGTTGCGAACAATGCAATGACCCGCTAGTCTTTATATTCCGAACCAATGATGTTATGCCACTTTCATGTTTGGTTGCGAACAATGCTATGACCCGTTAGTCTTTATATTCCGAACCAATGATGTTATGTCACTTTCATGTTTGGTTGCGAACAATGCAATGACCCGCTAGTCTTTATATTCCGAACCAATGATGTTATGCCACTTTCATGTTTGGTTGCGAACAATGCTATGACCCGCAAGTCTTTATATTCCGAACCAATGGTGTTATGTCACTTTCATGTTTGGTTGCGAACAATGCAATGACCCGCTAGTCTTTATATTCCGAACCAATGATGTTATGTCACTTTCATGTTTGGTTACGAACAATGCTATGACCCGCTAGTCTTTATATTCCGAACCAATGATGTTATGTCACTTTCATGTTTGGTTACGAACAATGCTATGACCCACTAGTCTTTATATTCCGAACCAATGATGTTATGTCACTTTCATGTTTGGTTACGAACAATGCTATGACCCGCTAGTCTTTATATTCCGAACAAATGATGTTATGTCACTTTCATGTTTGGTTACGAACAATGCTATGACCCGCTAGTCTTTATATTCCGAACCAATGATGTTATGTCACTTTCATGTTTGGTTACGAACAATGCTATGACCCGTTAGTCTTTATATTCCGAACCAATGATGTTATGTAACTTTCATGTTTGGTTACGAACAATGCTATGACCCGCTAGTCTTTATATTCCGAACCAATGATGTTATGTCACTTTCATGTTTGGTTACGAACAATGCAATGACCTACAAGTCTTTATATTTCGAACCAATGATGTTATGTCACTTTCATGTTTGGTTACGAACAATGCTATGACCCGCTAGTCTTTATATTCCGAACCAATGATGTTATGTCACTTTCATGTTTGGTTACGAACAATGCAATGACCTACAAACCTTTAAATTCCTAAGCGGCGAATTCATGATAGGCCTCTGATTATACTTTTGAAAATATTATACAATTATAGCCTTTGTATGAGGTCGATACGAGGTTATATTGACGTAAGAGAAGCATATTGACTGAGGACGAAGTCCGAGGTCGATATGCTTCTCTGGATCGATATAACCTCGTATTGACCTGAACCAAAGGCTACAATTGTTATATTATTAATCAACAACTATTGCATGAACAATGTAAAATTGGGGATTTCTAGAATCTATTTTTAGTAACATGCTGTATGCCCTGTGCAATATGCTGTTTTTGACCTACGAAAAGCTAAACACAACAGTATTGGCGTGCAACCTGAGCAAATACAAATGTACATGTGATCAAGTTTTAACGAATCACAAATCCTTAAAAATATTCGATTAATAATATCAAATTATACTGATAACGATATTTAAAATATTATTATATTCAAATACAGGTTGTAGATCGAGTGAAAAGATATAATGTCGACTACACAGACTATGTATATGTCGATCATGGACAAGGAAATAACCAAGGTAAATAAATTCGTTGCTATACAACAGTCTATTCACAAATTCATTTGTTTCCCTGTAATTTGAGATCCATTTTTAAGAGCTGTTTCCTGATCGGAGTGACATACGTATTCATTGAAAATGAAGCTCTATTTGAAAGTACACATTTATCTGTGTGTAATCTGTATGTTTGTAAAAACATTTCTATAGGACTTATTATTTTCTTATGCTAAACAGTTTTGATATCAATAGTTATTAATCAGTTAAAGAATTTGTTTTAAACGCCTTTGTATCACTTTCAACTTAGTATGCATGGGGAGCATTTGTATCCGGTTGTGACATTTTGAACGACTGTGGATTCGCATCAAATAAGTTTGAATTTACCAAATCATAAAATCACGTGGTATTTGTTGTGATTGATATTGTTTCACTTAATCATAATTTTGAAGTTTTATTTTTATGTATACAAATTATGCAAAATGCTCCTGCATAATTGATTATTATCAAGTGTTCATGCACAATTCATAACGTTAATATATGAAATAAACTCCGAGTTTGAGCTGCCAAAAACTCTTATATATGAGATTATAAAACTTTTAATATTTGTTTATCAACGCATCTGTTCTTGCGATGTTATTGTATGTGATTTTCTCTCTGTCAGTTTAATATATCTAAATGGTATAACAAATATATTTTCAAAATGCGCATTTGTATATTGCAGGCAATCAAATTCAAAAACAAAATCACGTGTTTATATCTTCTTTCAATTAAATCGAATTGACCAAATGTATCACGATTCTGAAATGATGGATGCAATTAATCCTTTCAACATGCTGAAATTGAAATATTATTAATTTATGAAAATAACGTATTTTTGAACATCAATATATATCTGTTTCTTTTTATTTATTAATTACTTCATACACTTTTGATATGACGAAAATTTAAATAATCATATTTTACACGGACATATTGAACGGATAATTATGCATGCTACTTAAACCGAAGGCCGACTACGGAATACAAATATACAATATATTGTGGTCCCTATTCGACCGGCGGGCTCATGTGATAGAGTGTGTAAACATGACAATCGAACAGAAATGTAAAAACAGCTACTTGAATTCCGACAAATAGATAGTTGTTTAAACAGAAAGGTGAATTGTTTTATGTTTGATTCTTACAGGTGAAACTTATGAAGTCGTTGGTGAGTTATCATAACACCGCTGTGGTTCACATAGATATAGGAAGATGTGGTATGAGTGCAAATGAGACAACTCTCCATCCAAGTTAAAAGTAAACCATTATAGGTCAAGGTAGGGCCTTCAACACGGAGCATTGGCTCACATCGAACAGCAAGCTATAAAGGGCCCCAAAAATTAATAGTGTAAAATCATTCAAACGGAAAAACCAACGGTCTAATCTATATAAAAACGAGAAACGAGAAACACGTATGAACTACATAAACAGACGACAACTACTGTAATCAGATTCCTGACTTAGGACAGGTGCAAACATTTGCAGCGGGATTAAACGTTTTAATGGTGCCAAACCTTCTCTCTTCTCTGAAACAATAGTATAACATCACAACATAGAAAAACACACTATAAAATATCAATTGGAAGGCTTAACCCAATCAAAAAACGTAAATTAACACACAATGAACGAATAAATTTGACCTGTGACACCTGAATGCAAATACACAGTTAATAAAAACTTACAAGGGATAAATAATTAAAGTCAAAAGTAAATACACAGGTTTAAACAAAGTTAACGTATGATATCACTGTGAAATTTCAAACAATTTATAGAAAATCATCACTTTTGAAGAAACCTGCGTCATATTATACACAGGTAAATGAAAATAATTTTGTTGTTAAGTATACTTCTTCTTCTGTGTGTATAAAATCTTCCGTTTAGGAATACCAAGAAATTTCTTTAATATCAATAAAACTAATCTAACACTTGGTACATATGGGGTGAATATCAACAATAAAAATATACAATTAGTGCTAGATAAAACTTCCTGTACAGGTACAAGTACAGCATCTAAGGAAAAATGAAATAATTTTGATGTTCATACATACAATGCTAAAATAGTAATTTATTCGCCGTTTAAAAATCGAATACAAGGATAGTTCTACAAAATTTATAGCAATCTTTGTTTTAAATAGTAGCATTATCTTGGATTCTGTATTTACAATAAATATTTACAAGACCCTTAACAAAATCAAATTTAGTTTTTCTTCTTTGTTGTCTCGTGTGAGCGTGCTCACCTTGAACGCTGGAGGTCATTGTTTATATCTTCGATCGGATCAAGCAAATTCTGAATGGTAATAGTCAGAACAGCCATTCTACAAACGTATGAACGGCTAAAGTACAAAAAGAGGGACGAAAGATACCAGAGGGACAGTCAAACTCATAGATCGAAAACAAACTGACAACGTCATGGCCAAAAATAAAATGACAAACAGACAAATAATAGTACAGATGACACAACATAGAAAACTAAAGACTAAGCAACACGAACCCAACCAAAAACTGGGGGTGATCTCAGGTGCTCCGGAAGGGTAAGCAGATCCTGCTTCACATGTGGCACCCGTCGTGTTGCTAATGTTATTACAAATCCGGTAAATAGTCTAGTTCGGTAAGTCACATTCGTGAAAAGGGAAGGGTATTGTAGTTACGACATAAGGAACATATCCGATATCATCTGTGAAACGGTTATTCCATAACGGTCAACCAACTCGTGATGGCGTCCGTAAAATTTACGAAGGGATAACTTCAACTTCACCATTTGAAACTCTTGGTTTAATAGCTTCCTTGTGAGCAGCAATCCTCTATCAAGGAAATCATGATGTACAACGTAGTAGTGATTAAGAGCATAAGGAGTGACTTTGATCAGCATGGACCATAATACTGATGAAGTATCCGTTATCTGTTATCCGAAATATTAATCGATATTTGTACGTGTTGTTTTTTCTTTTCCTTTTTTAATTTTGGTATTGTTTTGTACATGTTTGATGCAAATACTAGTATATAATAAGATAGATGAATAACCAAATTACCAATTTTGTGACTTTTGTCTCCCTTATATATTCAGTTATTTTTGATTCGACAGCAAGTGATGAGCCCCATGAAGTCGAAACACGCGTCTGGATTAAAAATTATCAGCATGGGATCTTTGATGGTTTTTAGTACAAATAATAATGTCAATGGTATCTATTATTGTAGAAATATTATACTGATAATGTGGAGCGGTCAATGCTATGTCCGATGAAGTTTTAACATTTATTCAATATAATGGTCAATGTTATCTTTGAGGCTTTTCTGTACTAATAACATGGAGTCGTCAGTGGTAGCGCCAAATTATAAACGTTGGTTCTTTCATGAGTTTTGGTACTAACAATATTCAGTGGTCAATAATATTGTTGATGGGTCTTTTGTTCTTACAATTTGTAGTGGTCAATGATAGCGCCAGGAGGAATTATAGCGGAAATCGTTATACGACCGGATTGAGGGGGATTTTGGAGAGGTTTACAGAGTAGATAATAATGGGTCAAACCTACAGAAAAATGAACAATAAAAAATTAGGGAAAAAGAAAAATATGATAAAAAAATAAAAAGTAATGGGTGTTTAAATCTAAAGAATAGCGGATAATAGTTTAAAATTATCTAAAAAATCAAATAGAAAAATTTGCCTTAATAATGTAAAGATATATAAATGAAGAACTCCCCATTCATACCTTCATGTCGATTCCTCGTACAATATGTCTAACTTCGACATTCATTTATGTGAAGGACTACATAATTTTGTATGTCCTCTGTTAAATCAAAGCACCACCCCAGATCCTACAATTACAAACAGAGTTTGCCAGAGCATTTTTATGTCTTAGTCTTGTTAATAGAAACACTTTTTATAATGAATGATGAATTCTATATAAACACTGATAACATGAAAACAAAAACTCTCATAAAAAGGATAGGAAGGTACATATTAAAACATTATACATGACAATGTCAATTGGCCGTTTCAGAACCCAATGCATTCTGGGTAATTTCATTGTTCGTACACCAAAATAAAAACGACATCACGTTATTGGTTGAATTTCAATTGTTTTGGACGTTGTTAGCCAATAATCAGCGTTTTGGTGTTCGCTTTTGAAAATATTACCCATAATGCATTAGATTCCGAAACGGCGAGTTCAAGAAAGAAAAGAATAATATCAATTTAAAACTTTCTATTTTCACCTTTCAGAAATAGGACTACCTGGACCGCCTGGACCACCAGGAATTGGTCTTGCAGGTAAGGCGTATCAGAAATTAATATGATAGACCCGAACTAGATTTTATATATAACGCGTTTCAATTAATATGTTTATGATTAGAGTTTACGCTTAGGAATTATACTTTACAATTTCTTTTATAAATCAGTTGTGTCAAACTTTTTGAATGAATTCGGAAAAAAATGGCTTGCCTAAAACCCTTGCTGAATATTGAGTTATAATTGAGCAAAATAACAAAATGTCAAGTGATATTTTTTTAAACATATTTTCTGTCTACTTATTTTAAAATAATGCACGAAAGTATTCAACAATTTTTCAATATAAACAAAAAGAATATAATGTGAACCAAACAATCGCTATTTCCTTTTATTCATAGTTAATCAATAATGTTAATTTTGTTTTATTTTCTATAGGAAAAAGAGGACGAACTGGACGTACTGGACCTCCCGGATCCAAAGGATATAGAGGAGAACCTGGAAAAACAGGACCTGTTGGATCTCAAGGGTTAACTGGACCGAGGGGTTTCATTGGATTTACAGGACCTGCTGGACAGTCGGGACCATCTGGACCTGCTGGACCATCTGGACCAACTGGACCTATTGGATCCACCGGTCCCTCCGGACCTCATGGTCCAACTGGACCTTCTGGACCAGCTGGACCAAAAGGAATGAATGGACAAACAGGACCTTCTGGGCCCGCAGGACCTCAAGGACCAACTGGAAATTCTGGTCCAAAAGGGATGACTGGGGCACCAGGACCTTTTGGGCTGTCTGGTCCTGTTGGACCTTCAGGTCCTGTTGGGCCAGCAGGGCCTAAAGGAATGCAAGGGACGAAAGGTGATACTGGACTGACTGGACCTTCTGGACCAAGTGGACCTACTGGACAAGCAGGACCATCCGGTCCTACCGGACCAAGTGGACCTTCAGGACCATCCGGACCGGCCGGACCATCTGGTCCGGTCGGACCCAGTGGACCTTCAGGACCTTCAGGACCCTCTGGTCCAACTGGGCCAACCGGACCAGCAGGTCCGATAGGTCCAAAAGGACCAAAAGGTATGCCCGGCAATAATGGTGGAGGAAATGGATGAGGAGGTGGATAATAATAGGTATATAATAATAATACAGTTTTAATCATGTTGTATGTTTTGAAAACCGTAATGCTATACTATTTATCAAAAAGTTTAATGATACTGAAGAGCTTTGTTTTCAATATCAATTTAATGTCGAATATTTTTACGTTTGTGTAATAATACAATTTCTCCAATTTTTTACGCCACACGACTACTAGGCTATTCAGTTAATTCACTGTGTATAAATTGCAAGTTTGTGTAAAAGTACTGTTCTTGTATTGTTCACAAACACAGATATGTGTGTCTGAAAGTGTTTTTCTATTGTTCATGGTAACCTAAATACATAATTGTAACCTATATAAAAAGAGCGAATTTAGTATGATTGTCAATTAGACAACCACCCAACAAAGTTAAAATTGAGTGGATGTAAGCCATTAAAAGTAACTGTACTGTCTTCAACAACGAGAAAAACATAAACCGTATGCTTTAAAAGGCCTCGACCATATCAGGTGTTTGTTTTTTTTTATATTACTAATCCCATTATTTTAACCGATTACTCGAACACTCGATTCTATAATTTGCTGATTGCCATCCCAAATTTGAAAGAGACAAGATTGATCATGCGTTTCAGTAAATTTTCATATTCTATAATGAGATGTTATGAATATGTTTTTTTTTAAAACAGGAACGTAAACGAACGCTCATGGAAGACGTGTGTATTCATCTATGGTAGCTTGAAGAAAGTTACCTGACAGTATCAAATGATGTAATATCGAATAAAAATGAAATCAAACAAATTTCCTTATAGTTGTTATTACTATCCTGTTTCCCTATTTAACTGATAACAGTTGTGTCCAGTCACCTAAAATATCATCAAAGAATACAGTTGTGTATGCTTATAATTTAATAAGGCATACACACGTTTCATCTAAACAAGATTGATCAATTGGACTCAAATCAACACAATTGTAAGCTTACTCAAGAATACAAGGGGCTAAACAGCAATGCAAACCATCACTTCGAGTACGTGTGCCAAATATCGTTAAGGTATCAATGCCTTGGGAAAGAAAAACACTTTGTGTTTTGAATGATTTTAAACTTTTATGACAGAACATTGACAGTTAATGATTGAATCAATTATGTTTGATATCAGCATACTTGAGCTGAACAAGCTAGTAATAACGAAACGTCCTCTAGCAGTGTCATTGAAATAATAGTTATAAACACGCTTCAAAGATTGCAGGATAATAATTAAATACGTCAGACTTATATACAAGTGGCGCTAACGTACATAACTGTTACTTATCGAAAATACTGCTAACAGTTTCGTGATAAAAGTTTTCACGTCGTAAGTAGTCAAAACTCTAAAATTATTGACATGGAATAACATGACGTGGTCAGTTCTGCTAAAAAAATGAAAACAAAAATCATCCGAAAAACTAAGGTTTTTGGACTCAAGGGCATCGATGCTTTGATATTAGTCCTGCAGATTGGTGACAAAATTATGAGTTCGATGATAAAAGCACACAATTGTGCATGGACGTAGTTCTAGGTATTCAAACTATATTAGCTATAGACCCATCTTGAAATTTCAATATGGCAGCTATTTCCAAGATGGCCGTCATAAAATATCAAAATCCAAATATATCAATTATATAAGGTCACATTAAAGGTCAAATTTGGCATGGTAGTAGTGCTGGAGGTTTCAAAAAAATATTACCTATGAACCTACCTTGAAATTTCAATATGTCGGCTTTTTCCAAGATGGCTGCCACACAATATCAAAATAAAAAAATATCCCTTACATTAGTTCAAATTTGTCAAGAAATTAGTGCTGGGTGCTTCGATCAATACTTGCTAAATTTCAATATGGCGGTTTTTTCCGAAGATGGCCGCTATTAGACATCAAAATCAACACATTTTTATAGAAGGTTACAAAGTGTTTTATTTTGATGTACCTAAGTGCCCTATAATACCAAGTGTATGCCACATTAATATACTAAAGCCAAACATCAAAAGATTTGTGAGGAAAGTATAGAAAAATCGTAACTACGGTTCTATTCTTGCAGAACAGTAGTATACAACAAGGGATCACGTATAAAAACTGGCGTTATTCGCATATTTAAAAGAGAGGCGAACGAAATAAAAGGGACATTCAAACTTATAAGTCGAAAATAAACTGACAACGCCATGGCAAACAAAAACCCAAAAAGATAAACAGACAAAGAAAAGTACATAAAACACAGCATAGAAAACTAAAGCCTGAGCAACACAAACCCCACCAAAAACTGGGGGTGATCTCAGGTGATCTGGAAGGGTAAGCCATTCCTGCTCCGCATGTGGCACCCGTCGTGTTGTTCATGTTAGTACAAATTCATTAATACGTTTAATTCGGTATGTTGCATTCGGTGAAATGGGGACGGGATTGTAGTCACGACAATTAAAACAGGTCCGTTGCCATCTGTGAAGCGAATGTTTTATAACGGTCAACCAACTCATGATGGCGTCCGTAAAATTAACGGAGTGATGATTTCAACTTCACCACGTATAACTCTTGGTTTAATAGCTTACTTGTGAGCAGCAACCCTCTATCAAGGAAATCATGATAAAAAATACAAGCCCCCGAATATCGAATCAACTGGGAGATATATACTCCGTATGCAGGCGCTGTTGGAATGTTGCTGCAAAGAAATGGAAAGTTCACAATTGGAATGCTGATATCATCTCTTTTGTCATAAAGTTTTGTTTTCAACCGACCCTCATTGTCAATTTCTAGATGTAAGTCAAAATATGAGGCAGACTTAACTGTATCTGTTGTATCCTTTATTTCAAAGTCGATGGGATAGATGCGTTCAACATAGTCACCAAATTATGTATTCTTTAGTGAGAGAACATCATCTACATAGCTGAAAGTGAAGTTGAAGGATACGGCTAACTTCTTTTCTTTCTTCTTAAGAAGTTCCTGTATGAAGTCAGCTGCATATGAATAAAGGAACAATTCGGCTAGAAGAGGAGCATTGATGTTTCCCATGGGAATGCCAATTGTTTGTTGAAAAACACGTCCTTCAAACCTAACACATATGTTGTCAATTAAGAAATCAAGCATCTTGATAATGCCACTTTCAGAGAATTTTTTGTTTGAATAAGAGTGATTTTTTTACAAAGTACGATTTATCCCTCCCTGAGACAGGATACATGTATCTGCGTGGGCCATTCTTTTTTATGAAACAAGCAGGACCAACTCTTTCAATTTGTCTTTTAGTTTGGAATGGGGAATACTTGTGTAAAGTGTAGAAAAGTCAAATGTTTTAATACTATTGCAGGATGAACATCTGATTAAAGCCACCTCTAGAATAGGTAGTTTCACAATAACTTTGAAGTCCGACTTTGATTGCCGATAACATTGATGTTAATGATTTAGAAAGAGGTTTCGTGGAGCACTTGGAAGACCCAGAAATATAACGTTGTTTGTAAGGACACTTATGTAGTTTAGGTATCCAATAGAGTGCAGGAAGATCCAGTTCTTCATCTTATGTTGAAATTCCAAAGGAACATAGAACAGACCCATGATTATCTCCTTGGTAAGTGTCGTAGGTGTATATGTTGGGTTTCCATGTGAATTGCCAATACCTAATTCATTTAGCAAGCAGTTTATGTTATGTAATTCACACACAAAAACGATGTTGTTTGGGGCATATCTGCGGGGACAACAATAAATTTGTCATGGAGGTAGGACAGGTGTTTTGCAACATTTGGGTTTATAAAGATTGATGTAGCATTGGTATTCATAGACACATTCAGTTTTTTAATTCTGATTTGTATCAACGACCTCACTTCCTTAATCCATTCTGAAAGAGTATCTACGTCTTCTTTCTCGCGTTTAACCCATTGTCTGGCAAATACGACGCTATTATTTCAAAGTTACTTCTGTTTGTTTCTTTTTATTCTTCTTTCTTAACATTACATTAAACTGAAATAAAACCATCTCTTGACGGATATAGGCCTTCTTCCGGATGCTAGGACCAGGTAAGTAGGTACTAAATGACCAAATGTACAGTTTACGTTTGTCGTTTATGAATGATCCATTTATCTATTTATCTACAGTACTAGAAGATTCCATCTATGCCACTTTGAACATTGAATATGTGGTTCCTTCCTCGAATCCTGGTGGTTTTAAAACAGCAGCCGTGGACATTATTCACAACAACAGGCGTTCAACTACGACTAAAGAATTGTTACATAGTACAACACTTTCAATGTTTCAGCATTTTCTTAGTCTTACTTGGCATATTTTTCATAATCTTATGCTTTGAAATATATGCAATTCCCTTATAATCTCTGATACTTTAATCAATATATTATTCACCAGCACAACTGTACTTATCATTGCTATAACTTATATATATATTACTATAGAGTAAGATACATCCTTAATACTAACCAAATATAACAATGCGTTTCATACTTACATCTAATAATTACCGTTTTATGGACATGAACAAGTGTTCAGGCAAGGAAAAATAGGACTTCATGAATAGCAGATTATTTTTGTTTTTTATTTTTGAGACTTTCATGCATCAGCAACAAGACATTTCCATGAGATTACAGTAGATGTACTTCTCATTCTTATGCAAAGATCCTGACATAATTTTTATTGAGGAACGAGATCCTGATGAAAACTATGTAACATTCAAAGAATGTTTGGGTGTATAAAGATTCCATTATATTCATTGGTTTTTTGTATTTTCCCATCCACATTATGGCTTTCAGAACCCGTGCGTGTTATTATGCCATTAAACTATACAGTTTAAGTGGTTCAAACTTAATTTGAAAATGGTAAATTAAGATCAAGCCACCATTAGTAGAATTACACACTTGTAAATGGAGAATGTGGGACAATCAGATAAATCATCAATAATTGATACACACCTGTAGCGTTTAATGGTGTTTTGTCTTGAAATGACCATGATGATTTACAAGTTTCAATCCACCTTTGAAATAATATAATGTGATTAGGTAAACCACAGGAACGGTTTAAAAGCAAACACACGACATTTTCAAAGCATGTGAAAGCTTTAGGCGGGGTGATGTTTCGGCCTTTTACACAGAGTGCTACTTCGAGTGAATGTGGATGGCATATACCTTATTAGACATTTCTCACAAAGGTATAAGCATTTTGTGATGAGCTAACAAAGTGTGGCTGACAGATATAAAACGGATGTCAAGGTAGATTAAAATGCAAAAGGACGATGATGTTACGTACGGTGCTGTTTAAAATACATTTTGCAAACTGCATTAAACATGTGTTGTTGTTTAGATAATGAAAAAGATAGAAAAGATATTTTGGCACTAAAAAAGCATTAGTTAAACAATACCAGATGAGAATTTGGGATAAAAACGCAAAAAAGAAGACTAACAGCAGTCAAGAAACCAGTTCACAAAATTCTAAAAATTGAGCAACATAAGCCCCACTAAAAAACCCGGGATTATTTCAGGTGCTCAAGAAGGGTCAGCAGTTCCTGTTCTACAAGTGATACCATCCTAGGTGCTCTAGTTGAAATATAATGATGAGTCCAGTAGTTAGGCATATATCATATAATAGTGGATTTATACATATCTCTTTTAATATCAAAATTTAAAACATGTAAAAACCATACGTACATGTAAATGATCTCAATGTTGATGAAATATGAGTGTTTCAAATGAAATAAGGTTTCCCATCCCTACATGATGGAACAACAAGACTTTCAGCGGTTGACAACACAGACATTGAATAATAGAGAGCACACAACACATC